AACAGATTGTCGGCAATGATCCCGTTGAGGGTAAGGATTCTGTTAAACTCATATAGCGTAGATGGAGTGGAGTCAGAAAAACAAGTACCCAGCAATTTATTACATATTCCTACTCCAAGATAGAATATAGGCTCGAGATGGTTTGCTAATGAGAGTTGGCTAATGAACGGCCATTGAGAATTAATGCCCGTTTCATAATATAGTAGTATTGGGTCAAAGAGGCTACATACCTACAAATAGAATGTGAAGCTCGACTGACGAGGAGCTCCACTGACGAGGACTTGAAGTTCTTAGAATAGGTCCTCACTCTTGCAAAGCACATTCCAGGGAATCCTTCTGAACCTTTGCTCTAATCATGAATTCTAATTTAGCGACCAAGCAATTTACAAATTAGTGCTTAGCACTTAGCGCCACATTAGCCACCAGGAAGTCGCCAACCGTCAGTAAAGCTCCTTGGATGATCTAGTCACTTACTTAATATTTTGTTTGTTTGAAATTATCTTCTCCGTAACAAAGAGACTATCATTTTCTTCTACAGCCTCATAGGGAATTTCTGTGTTTTTTCTGCTGGCAGATAGGTATGGCAGATAGTGGTGAGCCTAGACGTACTGAATTACCAAAACTATAATCTTGTACTTCCTACTATAATGTTTTGAGAAATCGCAGATTTTTAGCGATGACCATGCTCATAAAATTCATGAATATGTATGAAGCTCACAAGCTAGGATCGGATCGGAAGTGTGTCATAAGGTCAAAGTGCGACGGATGAATCGACCCTTTTTGTGACATTTAAGGAACGGATTTTACATTTGCGATTTTTACAATTGGATAAGAGACGCAAAAACATCGTTTTAGATGACATATTCGTATTCCGTCGGTCTCCAGGGAAGCCAATGTCAACTAATTTCTAATAGCTTCATGCCTGTCTTCGAAATGAAATAGCCACTTTGAGACCTCGAAAAAGTGCAGGTTTTTTTTGCATTCTAGCGGTTAACTTCAAAAGTCTCTGATGAATTAATATTTTCCTACTTCCGCTTTTGTTTTGGATTGAGGCAAAATTTTCATATTGCTGTGAGCTTTCCTTTAAGGCTGCTTTCAAACTCTTAGCTATGGTCCAAAGCTGAAATTTGCTCAAGATTCAAGGGGTACCTGCTCGTTACCGATACGGTTAGACCAAAATTTCGTTGTAATGAAACTGTGCGGTGTAAGGCGAACTTCATGGATAATTTGATAACTTTCCCTTCGTTTCTAGTATAGAACCTTGACTGCTATAATAGAAACAAAGGTTTTTTATTTCTGGGTTCTCAAATGCAGGGAGGGCTCTAGCTACGGGATCTTTTAGGATCCTGAAACCACCAGCGCTGCTTAGGCCGGAGAAGAGCTGCAAAATCTACTAAGGAGCATTTCTAGCTCCATCTAGACTCTTAAATAAAAGAAACAAAGGGATTTCAGTAACACTACTGTGCTCGAACAATCAGGTCTATCATGTTTTCAAAACTTGTACTTTCTGGATGGTGAGCTTTACTTAGTGCTTCCCAGTAAGAGAAGAGTGGTTTCTTATCAATTTTTAACACTTGTTTGGATGAAAGTAGCGGAGTAAAAGAAAAGTTTTCAAAAAAAAGATGTGGCCGTCCATTTAATGTACTCAGAATTTTCGCTTTCGTGCCTAGTTGCACTTTTTCCACGAAATATGTGGAACTTTTTTTGCTTCGTCAGACGTCTGCTGACGTTTGAATGACTTTTTCTAGATTAGATAGAAAATTCACTCAAATCCCTACTTTTTATTTCCCATCCACCTCTCTACCTACGTCTGTGACTTTTTTTTGAATATTTGAAAAGATAGGAACGGGCAAGTAGCAGTGCTAACATGTGCAGTGGGTCCAAAAATGAGCTCTTTGCTCCGTTATCATCAACTTGACCAGAACTCAACATGCTTCCCACCCCTTTACGGTCGACTACCGGACATTTAATTGACATTTAGGACATTAAATCGACCCACTTCTTGAGTCTCACATGGGTTGGCTTCGTAAGAAATTGACAGCTCAAGAACGGTCATTCAAATGTCAAGTGATTCCCGTCGGAAGTTGAGTGCTTGGCTCATCCAGGGAGAGCTCGATCAAAATCATTGCTATTTCTTTCCCCAAAACCAATTATAGGCAAACGTCACATCATTAAAATTTCTAATTGACCGCAACTATTCCATCGTTGAGCTCAATACCATTTAAGTGGCCTTATCAGTTACTGCTCATGCTTACCACTGAGGAGCAAACATGATTTGACTAACTGGCTAGCCAGGAGGCCCCATTGAATCCTGCTCATCCTCTTTCATACAGGTTGCTCAAGCCCTTCCCTTCACTTGAGGTGAATTTATGGGAGGGGACACTTCTTGAAATAGCCCAAACAGCTAGTTTTCCTCAATATTACGGTAAAGTGATCTTCAAACTAAATGCAAGCTGCCTACGGGTGCCGAAAAATGGAGGCCCCCGTTACAACAGCGNACTGACTCGTGATTCTCCAGCAGTTGGGCTAACAAAACTTGTAGTGATGTCCGCGTGGTTTACTTGAGACTGACGTAAGTCAATCTCCTCCCAGCTGTTCCTCACGTTCCACGTGTGCTTTCTTTCGTCATCGCATCATTTTTGTTTTCCTCCAGTTGTCGCCACCCTCCGTTCCGCCCCTCCTTTTGAACAGTCTTTAGCGTCCTCATCGTCCCCTTCGTCTCCAATACTGCCATCAGTAAGTGGGCCGTAAATAAACGAGTAATTCCGCCTGTCACGTCAAGATCTTCTTCAAACCTTGTAGAACGCTTCGTTTTTAATTGCAATTTCTTGGACGGCTCGGTCAACGCCCGCTCATTCCGTCCATACCATTTAAAAACTCGTTTTTATGAACTTTCAATACGTTCCCAGTGTCAGTGTCTGGGTTTGTACCCAGCTTTGGTAAGGCCGAGCCTTATTTCCCTAATTCTCGGGAGTTCGGACATGAGGCTGATTCTATGGTGCACTGATGAAAGACCGATAGCAATGCACAATTCCGTGATAATTGCTCTGACTCTTCCTCCCTTTCGCCCTAGAAACATTACCCATGCCTCACACATTCGGAGTACGTTCCACTTAGCTGTAGACATTTCTAAGGGCACAATAACACCATCAAATTCGGATCTTATGACATCCTACCCAACGTATTAACTAAATTGTTGTAATTTTGCCTCATAGTACATCGCTACAATTTAAACAAACTATACTTTTGGAAAGTGATTCATAAGGAGGACGGGGAGATCCCTTGATGCTTCTCGGGTGTAACAAAAGGATCCCTGGAGAAGTATTTCGGATTCGTCGCCAAAGAGGCAAGGTAAGAGTAAGACGTGGATGCGATTTTTCGGATATTTTAATATTCGTTTTTCTGAGCCCAAGTCATTTTCAAGTAACCTGACTTCGGAAGCTAACCATCCCTATTATGCAATGAATTTTTCGTACTTTCTTAGTGCTAGTCTTAGTTTTTCAACTTTGCATGTCAAAGTGAACTCGACATATGCACTTGTAACTCCCATATCTACAGAGTTTCTGGACATCCTTCAAAGAATTGACGTCCTTCACTTCTTAGAACTTGGTTAGGTGGATAAAATGCAAAAATAGTAAAAAATACGAATCGAAATAAAAATTCTTCGTTCATGAATGCCGTAGTGAACCTTATGACGTTGTTCCACGTTCATTTAAAGTCCAAACGAAGCGCTTGACTGGAACTGAAAGGGGACGAGAGTTTGAGGTGTAGGTTGATCAGCGATTCTTTGATGAGTCGGAAATTAAATCAATCGTTTCACGATACGCAAATTAAAAATATAACAAAATGTCAAGTACTTTGCTTTCAACTTTTGTCCTGCAAGAATTTATAAGTAATGAGGGAAGGGAAAGTGCACAGACGTTGTGCTTTTGACTTGAGGGAACAGAGACGATCATTAACCATATCAGCTGATGTGGAAAGCTGTAACAAATTGTAATGAGAAGGTACGAACTTTCACGGATGAAAGCCTGTATTGTAATAGGTTGTACTTCGATCATTCCCTTACTTCTCCTATCTTAAGTTCCTTCTGTCACAAGAGTCCTCTTCCTTGACAGGTTGCAGCTTTTTCATCTTAGAAGTAGTTCAAGTCCCTCAATTAAGGGTCTATATCCTGAAAATGAGAAGTGCAAAATGTCGAATCGTAAAACATTTTCCCAAAACATCCGTTTTCAGTTCCCAAAAACCTTTTGACTGTAGGAGTTCACTAATCATTTGACACCTAGTAACTTGAAAATCATACCGGCAAGAAACCTTCCCTTTCCTCTCCCCTATAGACGGACCGGACTAGTTTTAGCATGAAGAAAAAGGGCTGATGGGGAAGGTACAAGCTCCATGAGCCTTGTATAGAACCTCTGAGCCGGAGTCTGATCAGTAACATCAGATGCCGGAGCCATTGTCTGGTTTTAGTTAACAAATTTCTAGCTGGAGGATTGACTTTCAATTTCAGGGTCGATAGCTGAGGGTTTTATCAGCAAATTGGCCCTCTCCATTGAAAAATAACGGCTTGTAACGGCTATTTACTAATTTACCCCGCCTACCCACTTAGTCAAGCCAAACAGAGAGAACCTAAATTCGGGCAACTTCAGTTATCATAATAGCTATAGAAGTTTGAGCAAGGCCAGTTTCCGCCTCAGAAGTCGCTTTCCCAAGTCCATCTTAAATCAAATGGTCAAAATGGACAAAAGACGGGCTTATGCTTATCCTTATTTCATCGACTTTTACGGGAAATAAATTCTAGATGGGTTTAAGAGGGCATGTCCATCATTCATTCATCCATTCCATCTCAACGACTTTCCGTTCACCATTTTTCCCTGATTCAACCATTTCATCCCAGCGGCTGAATCGGCTTTCCCGGAAAGTCTAAATAAGCTTTCAGTTGATGCGATCGGATTACTATTTGGTACATGTTTAAAGCTATCTTTATGAATACTGTAGGTGAAATGGATCAAAGTTTCTTTTCCCTTACCCACACTATTGGTCTTGGTGAGTTAGGACTCCATCCGGTAAAGGAAACGGGTGAAGCTATGGTTATGAAATTGCAAGAGTTAGGGTACATGGCTTCACCCAAATGGATTCAGGCCCTCAAAATTTGGGCTCCTGTCGAGCCATCCAAGGATTTAGCTGATTTCAAATGCCATAGGCTATAGAATGAGACCATTTCCTAGTCTATTCTTTTGTCCTTCGTTTCATCTTCACCGGCACTTCTTCCATAGGCACAATAGTGAGGCTCGATGAGGATCCTCCGCGAACAGCTTGAAACTTTTCGAGAGCTGGGGCGAATTTCTATTATTAGTACTCTGAATGGTGCATTGACTATACGAAAATGTCTGGACTCTGTTATAGAGGAAATGGAAGGACTCAAAAAACATTTCTTTTAGGTAATGGAGAGGGCGTGGGGAGGGGTGGAAACGGGAAGTATGTACTACCTGTTATCGAAGTACTATCTGCTTACTGGGCCAGATTTTCATCTTCGGACAGAGGAACACTTGTTCCAACTAATTGAACCGATACTTCAACCTTTTTGTTATTTCTACCACCTTCCTGTCGGACTTTCAGTTTGACTTTATCACATCGTAGTTATCTGCCGTAAGTGATGGGCGTGGTACAACTCGATGGGCGGGCAGCATCTTGGAAGTGGGATACTCACTGCTCTTGTGGGTCGTACTTCAAGCAGGAAACTAGGCTGTCAGGAGCCAATACATTTTTCCGAATTCTATCACTCGGCATATTCTCATCACACTGCTCTTCAAAAATACTTTGGTCCCAATATAAAATTGCAATCGTCTATCACTCCTTAGAAGCCTACTAGAAGATTTCTACTCCAAGCTGATTTACAAAGATGATTAGAGCTATTTTATTAGTAGAACTTCTCCTATTCCTTTCGCTTGCATCCCTAATTTCCCAAAGACGACCTGAATTGGAGCCCTAAAACAAGCTAATCCAACCATCACCAAGCAAAATCCAGTACCAGAAAACAGAATCTTTGAAAAGTAAAAAAGGAAGAGGAAAAGTTTCAATAGTCCTTTTTCTCGATCAATTTTAATTGCATTTACTTAATATTATTATTTACTACTACTACCTACTATTATTTGCAATTACCTGACCAATACAAAGCCTTGAAGAAAATTGCCATTATTCACACCAATGTTTTTTGCCATCCCACCCGAACGCGCTACCAATTAATCAACCCGAAAGGATGAAAGGTCGTGTTGGTCTAGACGGGAATCGGTCTTGGAATCAGTCTCTGGCCTAGCGTGGGATACCAATTGGCACTGCGTCACCTTCACCATATTACGGAATTGTCTATCATGTAAAATAATGAATGTTTGTCTAATTGGAACATCGCAGTAGACCCAGAAGTCCCGTGGGAGAAATAGTAGGTAACCACGTGACTTTCGGTTTTTCACCCACAAACTTTTGAACTCTCCCTGTTGATCTAGTTGATGTCCCGAGCAACTGTTTCGTGGCTGTGCCCATTTTCTTAGGTCTTAGGTTCCTGAGTGAAAAACTATCGCTGAGTATTTTTGTTTCCTCTGTTCTCGGAAGTAATTCTAGACGTGTGGGCAGCTGTACAAACGCTAAAGTCCCAGTCTCACGGAATCGTTGCCAATTTCACATGAAGTAACGTGGGACCGTTTTTTCTTCGGCTTCTACGATACTCCTTTCACGTACCTCTTCGGCCACCTATTACGACGTATGGGAAAGTCACTTCAAAAGGTTTTTTCAGTGTCTGCTTTTACTCAGAGCATAACAACATAAAAGCTTTGTGTGACATGGGATACTGCTCATTACCTACGAGTGCAGGATTACTGTAATTGGGCCTTTCGCTCGTGGTCATGGGAACTCGAGTCGTACTTCTTACTCTGCAAAAACATAGTGTATATAGTGGCCGTTTAGAATGTCGTTCGGGTTATTCCCATGACTTAAACTTCTATTCGTCATAGTGGGTGATGTCCATACAGAAAGAAGAGCCCTCAAATGAAGTTGGTAAAAACTAATCCGGATGCGGAGATGATGGACTCAGCTACGTAGTTACGGATGTGTCGATCTGGGATTCGATCTCCTGACCTTGTATGTGTAAATTTTCTATCATACCTTCATCAAAAATCATTGCAAACGCCATTTGTTCATTCATGTACTTATTCAGTTCTGAATGTGTATTTGGTGTGGTACCCATGAGGTAATTGGGTGACTAGGGGCGATTACATGCAAACGATATGTAGTTGCTGATAAAAAATGATAAGCTTGCTCTTCAATTCATTCTTCCTATTAGATGTTGAAGCTATCTATTCTTTTGGAGCGTATTGTTTCGTGTTGATGTTTCGTATGCAGCTGTGTAACAACGGAATCTTGAAATCATCACTATGAGTTGACGAATTATTTATGGAATTTGTTATTGCTTATGGTGACACAACAGGATTCTTCCTGGTCTATTATTTCTTTGTAGAATGGTACAAGTAGAACGGTCCACCCTCCACTTGTATTCAAGCAAGTAAATGTTTTTTATGCACCCCGAGGACTGGTCCCCTTCTTAAGGAAAATCTCTAAAAATATAGGTAACTCATCCTAAATCGAAGCTTAGTTTACGCATAGCCTCAAAAGAATTACAATGACACTTCAACTGGGAAGAATTCAAATTCAATTTATACAGTAACCCTCAAAAAACATACAAACCGAACTCTGTTTGAGAAAAGAATCATGCCTTCATCGCAGTTCAAAACAGTGACCGAATTCAGTCAAGCGATTGCTAGAGGCGGAGTTCGAGTGGGTACCTGCTAATGAAAGTACCTTGAAGACCACGTCAGCGTCACCCAATTGGTGGGTCCTTATCCCTGTCAGCCTGTGGCCGAGCAGCTCAGCTAATCTTGGGCAGTACTATCACTTAGTTTGAGCTCTCAGGTAAGTTTGGCTATGGCTACCACTCGAAGCTATGCTGACCTGAAATGGTTGTACATTCACTATTTCGAAAACGAGGTATTTTTCCGCCCCTCTTTGGAAAGCGGCCTGTTAGCGGCTTTGTATTACCTTCTTTTGAAATATGCACTATGGAGTGCCGATTGTAGACAGTATTTCATGTATCTTTAACTGCTGTAAGGGTCTTACCTGCACTATAATGAGATCTGCATAAGATTTTGTGAAGTACTACCAGCTTGTTAACACTTCCAAGTGGGTTCTCAAGGATTTTTATTGGGCTCGAAACTAATCGAAAATCTGATAATAAAATTAAAGGCAAAAAGGAAGTTGGGTCAAAGGAGTTTTTTATAAAGTGGAAATGCTAAAGAAAAGTAGGCGGAGGCAGGCCCAAGTTTTTGGCAGTTAATTCGGGCTCCAAACCACAAGAGTGAAGACCACCTCAATCCAGACTACTCCGGATTACGCTATCATAAAGATTCTTTCTAACAATGTAGTCGTCTTCCTAGTCGGCTCATTGCTCGTGTGTGGAAATTCCTTGAATGACCTATGTTTCTCATATATTCCGCGATTTTTAATGATGCCTCTTCTTTCTCAGTTTGAGCACTTTCTTTGAAGTCTAGCCACTTATTGCGAAAGTTTTTTAGTCTTATATTGAACTCGTACTATTTCTTATTACGATTTTTTTCAAGAGAGGAGGTCTGCCTAATTAAAGATTCTGAGTATACTCATTGAGAACTCATAATATTGAAGATGAGTCCGAATTCGGGCTTTATGAGCTGTCAGCATCACGTTTTTGCACTTTGAACGTCTCGTATATATTCCGTTCTCAAGAAGATGAACTCCCTCCCTGAAGGGTCTTAGTTAAAAGGCTAAACTGACAACCTGCCTCAGTCTCTATGTCACCCACATCACATATTGGAGACGCCCGAATTCTGAATTTTCCTAATCCTTTCCAGCTCCCTACCTCTTTAACGATGGTCCCCACCACGATCAGATATTACCGTCAGCTAGCCAGCTCAACCAACATTATTTATCCATTTTCCATTTATTTTTTCTATGTAATTATGTAAACCATAAACCTCATAGTAGAACCAATGAGGCATCCGGGGCTGATTGATTCCTCCAGAATGTGCCATACATTTGATTCCTATTGGGAAGCCAGCTGAATTGATGGCTAGCTAACATGCTGTGTAGGAGGATCAGTTCTCAGAGGGTTCTACAGATCTGTTTCCAAAAAAGTCTCAGAGGCGGAGAGGGGGTCGATCTTTTGTACGTGGAACGGCTCATTTGACAGGGATTAACTGATGCTGACTTGATTGCTCATAGCCCCTCATCCACTGTGCCGAACCCAGTCTTTACGTGGAAAGATTAATTTTTTTGTCCCGCTACTGTTCCACTTCCGAACAGATATAATAGAAACAGAAATAGAATAAAGATAGAATAGAATAAAGCTGTAATAGAAACAGATTTTTGAAGAAAGGGACAATTATATACGAGAACTGATCATCTCAAATTCATAGGACGTCAGACTCCGTCGATGTCACCTAATCTGCACTTTAAATTAAACCGACGAACAGAAATATAGCCTGAAGATTGAAGCCTTTACGCTGTGGTATTCAAAACTCGGCCAGAAAGCGTTCCGCTTGAATGCCGCTACCACCCGGACCTTGCCCATACCAAGATGTCAACTCATCAGCTTCTGGGAGCTCTTCATTGTGGATGAGGTATGGACCTTCCACAGACCATCCAGCAATTGCTTTCAGACCTGACGTCAATAGCTTCCCGACGTCGTACCTCCTCGTTTCTCAAAAAGGATTATGGGGTTCAAGTGGGTAATCCATGTTTTGCCATAAAGTCGTCTGCTAGGCGCCTGCTTCAGAAAACCAGTCTTCCTTCCCACTTGGATTCTCTCTGGTTTCTCAACATCCACATAAAAACGATGGGCCACTTGATACTTATCCATATCTTTGGTTTGCGCCATGGACTCGGTTTCCCTCAGAATACCGAAGCATTGTAATAAAAAAATCGGTACAGAGGGCTGTGGTAAGACCACCATTTGCTCGCGTCAGGGACCAAACTCTCACGTAGGGATGGTCGATAGTTGTAGAGCAAAGGCGGACAGATCCGAGCTTGTTTAACGCTACTGAGATCACTCTGAATGTAAGGACTCGGCAACCTCCCACTACATAAACGAGGGGACGAATCTGCTACCCTTTCTAAATATATTTATACT